TTATTTATTTATTTATTTATTTATTTATTTATTTATTTATTTATTTATTTTGCAGTTTTCAAAGCCAGGGTTGGCTTTATCAGCAACACTTAAGGAGCTTGACTTCTGACAACTTTGACTCCTTAAGCACCCCGACCTGTCATGGATTTTTCCTCTGTTTCTGTTGGCTCTGTATGTGTGTTTTCCCTGGGGTTTGGACCTGGGCCTCACACATGGTAGGCAAGCACTCTACCACAATAGGAACTGCATTATCAGTTTCTGGCTGGAATTTTTTAAACTTTTTATTGACTCTTTGTGAGTTTCACATCATATACCCTAGTCCCACTCATATTCCTACCACCTCGTTTCCACCCTCTGCCCTTGCAACCTTTGGCTGGACGTTTTAAAAGTGGAAGTGAACTTGTGAAAATTTCTGGTTTGTTCTTCAAACAGGACTTGAGAAGTGTCTGTTAAAAGGAAACAAGAGGCTATTCCTATTTGAGGGATGAAAATTATGAGATAGACTTAGCTCTTATTAAATGTCTAGGAGAGGGTCAGCCAGGTGGCTGGAAGTCAGGGAACACTTGGCTGTAAGTTGCTAGGCCCGAGGCCTCCAAGGCTTCTGTAACAGTCCTTATTTACTTCGAGGTTATCCTGAGTTCTAATGTAACAGCAGCCATGCTCCAACACTTTTCCATGTAAGTTGGTGGTTCAGAGCTTTCATTTAAAAGCAACGACAGCACACATGTAATACTCATGTCTTATAAATTTAAAAACGTGGGAGTTGGAGAAAAAGGCCAGTGGTTAAGGGCACCCGCTGCTCTTCCAGAGGACCCAGATTCCATTCCCAGCACCCACATGACAGCTCACAACTGTCTGTAACTCCAGTTCCAAGGGGCCCCAGGCCATCTTCCGGCCTCTGTGGGCACTGCATGCCTGTGGTGCAATACATATGCAAAGCCAAGACTCATTCACATGAAATAAAAAGAAATCTTTTTAAAAGACTGAAACAGAGACCATGATTGATTTACTAAGAAGGTAACTAAAAAGTAAACAACCTCCAGTCTTCCGCAAACCACTGTGTTCTGTGTTCATATTTAGAGTATTTATTGCCTCAATTAATTTTATGCTTTGTCTGTTGAGTTTGAGTGTTCCTAAAGGGGGGAGAAAACGGACCTTTAAAGGGAAAGCATCCTCCCGGGACTTTCCCATCAGAATGGAGGTGCTGTGTTGAGAAGAGTTCATGAAAAGATCCATGGAAAAGGCCATTTTGGAGAGTAAAACACAGATCTGATGTCAGACCCAAGTTTTATTTGTTTCCATTGTTGACACAGATTTGATTAGCATGTGATATTCAAGACTTAGAAAGTCCAAGGCCGCAGAGGCAGGAATTGGATGGAGGGGCATTTGGAAGGGGGACAGGCACTGAAAAGTGATGTAACCTTGTTTTTAATTTTTGATAAGTTAAATAGCAGAAAGTTCAAGGGACCTTAAAACATTCCTAATTTAGATGTCTGCCCATAAATCTATAGGAACATGAGGTCTTGGTGGGACTTTCTGCTCCATTTCCCCAACCTTATCTCATGTCACTACACAAGAATTTTATTTAGAAGCAAGCTCATAAAGACTCCAAATTAGTCTGAACTCTGACTATCCAGTCTCTTAAGATTTATGTTATGTCCTTTTGGTTAAATACAATGTTTATTTGAACTCAAATTATCCTTTTTTTATTTTCATAAGGACATCCCAAGAGGTAATTCTGGGAATTTGGACAAAAAAAGAAAGTAATTTATTGGATTTAAAAAAAATAATGAATTGGCATGTTTACTTAAACCATATCTAAAGTAGTTTGTTCTATTACTTTTAAACACAGCCTATTTTGTTATTTTAAGGACACGGTTGGGTTTTGTTTTCTCTCTAGTGAAAGGACTGTCATTTCCCAGAAATTAACCTTGAAAGTGTTTCTGAGAGGGCAGAATGTGACCATGAATGGTCACACAGCCGTCACACAGCCAGAAGGATCATGCCTGGCTCAGGACTGTCCACTTAGTGAATGCATGACTGCAGGCAAGACCTTTTGCATCTCAGAAGCAGACGTCCTGGACTAGATGATAACCTAATGAGCTGTGATAAGGATTAAACGAAGGGATATTTATAACGTACTTGGCTTACAGTAAAGTGCTCGTTAAATGCTCCCCTACAATAAAGCAAACACTGCAACCACTAAACTGAATGCAGGCAAGATCCCAGGTAGAGCCTACAATGAGACAATCACTCATGAGCATGTCTGTTTTTGTTTTTTTTTTTTTTTTTTTTTTCAAGGCCCTGGTACTCTGTGAGTGCAGGCTGCTGAAAGAGCAGGTCAGCAGTGTCCTATTGGACTAGACAATGCAGGAAAGCGATTTGGTCACCATGCTTTCCCTTTACCCCATAGGCCTGGAGCATCCTAAGTGCTCAATGGTTATTTCTTAATGAAGGAGTTCCACTCCTCATGCCTTCTGACAAACAAGCAATCTTGAATTTTCACCCTCTCTTTATGAGTAGGCAAATCCTAATTCAATCTGAATGTTTAAAGAAACTAGAATGGGGGTGGGGACCCCTAGGACCTAATGCATCACTTTCTTGACGCCCAATCCCTAGAGTCCCAGGTTTGAATTTAGGCTTCACATTCATAAATCCTTAGAAATACAGCCATCATGGAGATCTAGAGACTATAATGGCATGTTTCCCAGAAAGAGACACAGTAGGGTGAAATATCCTGCTCTACAGGTGATTGAGGAAGGAATGTTTTCCTTGTTTCTCTAAAGAGGGCTGCATCATTTTGGCAAAGGCAGGGACTGGGAAGGTCACACTGGGGACTTCTGCAGGGTTATAAGATGTCAGCCTGTGCTCTGCTCAGTGGTGTTCCCTTCTCCCACAGGCATATGCTCCTGTCAGTCACAGATGAGGGTGGCCTTTCCAGACACCACAACACCCTTAGGCAACTTCCCAAGCCAAGGCTAGTTGATACCCTTTGGGAACTACTTTCTCACTCTTTGAAAACTGATTAACTGGATTGCTCAGTTTTTCTTTTAAGGTCAAGCACAGACAGAGATCTTATGGTAAAGTAATATCACTAATAACAGCCACTCAAACCCCTTTCCATAACATCATCCACTTATCTCTTTCATCCAAGATTGACTTTAAGGTAAAAAAAAAAAAAAAAGCCAGAAAACAAACAAACAAAAACAATGTTGCAAGCAAAATACAAAATCTCCAGTTAAGCTTGATATGCTAAAAAACGATAATTGTTATCATACATATTTCCCTTTGCAGTGCTTTGGATACACTAAGACTTAGTCATTGTCTCTCTGAAATACCATTCTAGTTGGATATTCTATTTCTTGTTCTGTTGTTTATTTGCTTGTTCAACTTAACAACCTAGGCAAAAGTGCATCTAAACCTGCCTGCCAAGGAAACCCTGCTGTAAGTTAGCATTTCATTCAAACCTTTAATTAATCATTACTATAATTATATTAATTGTTAACATAATTTTAAAAAGTGAATTATGGGATAAGTTGAGGAAATAGCTCAATCAGTAAAGCATTTGCCTTACAAGCACAAGGACCTGAGTTCAAACCCCAGAACCCACATAAGACTACTATGCAAAGACTTGTAATACAGAACTGGGATGGTGGACACAGGAGGCTCTCTAGGGCTATCCCTAACTGGCTATCCCCAAGCAAGAAAGAGAGTACCTCTTTCTCAAAAAAAAAAGAAAAGTACAGGATGATGTCCTTTGTTTCTCAAGACACATGCCCACATATGCACAGTGTGAGTCTTATGTTTGTCAGTCAAAGGGAAATCAAGGATCCATTTGCTGTGGAGTGGTGGGGACTGGCTCAACACTCTGACTTCTGGCTGAGTGTGGGCTGGCTTTCAACCAGGTCTGGGGAGAGAAACAGCCCAGAAGCTCTGTGTAAGAGAAAGGGCATTCATCTGGCAGAGTCTCTGCTCGACCTGCAATATCCAAGTTAGCTGTGTTTTTCTCAAATGGTAACATCTGGTTCCCTTTGCCCGCTGAGTGTCACCTTTATAAAGAAGCTAGTTGGAAGTCAGGCAGGAGTGACCGCTGTAGCCAAGAAATGGGACTTCTATTTTTAACATGAGAATTTCATGGCCCTTCAGCAAAAATGGGTTTTGTAAATTTTTTTAAATTTCCATTGAGTTTATTCTTGGTTTCCAAGATTCCCACCCAGAGCAAATAGACAGCCTGAGTTACAGGAAAGCGTCCTGAGAAACCACAGCTGCTTCTGACTGTTGTAATATGTTGATTCATTCAGCAAATATTTGTTGAGGATGGCAGTGTACAAAAACAGGCTCAGCAAGTCTCAGAAAACAAAAATATGACTTGTTTCATACCCTCAATAAAATTAAGATCTGATTTGGCACATGATTTGGTTGTTAGTTTGTTTGTCCAGCACATAGGAATCCCTAAGCTCTGAGAGATTCCTCAGAGCAGAGACCAAGACAGTGCACACTTGAAATCTCAGTACTTGGGAATTCAAGGTCATTCTCAACTACATAGTGAACTGAGGTCCAGCCTGGGACATGAGACCTTGTCCAAAATATATATATATATATATATATATATATGAGAAGGAAGGAAAGAATAAATATAAAACTTGAGCAAAAAGCAGTTGTCTATAAGAATGAATAAGATTGCCAATACACAAAAAAAAATACAGATTAAGTATCATAAGGCATACCAGAAAAAAAAATGTCTAATTACAGGCTGGAAATATTGACTAAGTTAAATTATATTTGAAGATAAATCAATATTTTCTGCAGATTAAATGGTGGAAAGAACAAGATGATAGGAGGGTCTAGAGGAGAGAATGAATGGGAAAGTCCCACTTTCATCCAGGGAGGAAATGTTTCATCTCTCCAGCATCAGTGAAAGTGAAAGTGAGAAACTGGGATGTGTGATGGTCAAGGTCCTACTTGCAAGCCCTGCCTGTGTGCATGAAGAAATAGCATCAGAACTGTACAGCACATGAGGAGAGATGCTGACTGATCGATGCTTAAGGTCAACAGGAGCTTCACTTTGACCACTTAGGATGGCTATACTCTTATATTGCAATTTACCACATTGTGCAGAATGGAGATGTTTCAAAGATAATTGGGCTGTCACTCCTGTATGTCCCTAATTAAACTGTATGATTTTACAAGGAGAATAAATGTTGTCAGCCAATCAATTTATTAAGCAGCCAATCAGTCAATCAGTCAATCAATCAATCAATGATGGATACTCTCCTGTTGCTACAGAAGATATGAAGAGCTCTATTATGTACTTCATTGTTCTTGGGGATTTTACAATCTATCTGTGATTTCAAGACCCATCCACAGCACAGCTCTGCCCCAGCTGGGAGCCACATCCTGCCTGGGCCATCACATTCCCAGGAGGGGAGTCATCCCCTGCAGGCTGAAATTTCCATGACTCTTGAGCTGCATCTTGACATTTTCACAGGCTGTGACTCTGAAATCAGGAGAGTGGAAGTTAAACATCTTGACCAAAGACAGTGATAGGAAATCTGTGTATGGGGTGTGATGGAAAACTGGAAAATATTCTCAGTAACTGGATATATTAGATAGTTGATATGAAACCAAAATGAGATTCGTCTGTGATGCCTGCATCTGGGTGTTTGAATTTGTGGTGCGGGGGATGCGTGTGCAGAAGTGTTAGGAACTCCCGGGACAACCTCTGTGGTCATTCCACAAATGCAGCCCACATTTGTTTGTTCATTTGTTTTGAGACAGTCTAGGCTGGCTGCCAGTCAGCTCTGCCTCCCCGGTGCTAGATTGCCAGTGTCGGCTACCAAGACTGGTTTTTGTTTTTGTTTTTGTTTTAACATGGGTTCTGGAGATCCAAATGAGCTAACTCCCCAGCACCTAAAATGTGATTTTTAAACCTAGATAGAAGCAGTTGCATTTTTCATTGAGATAATAGAGAGCTGAGACAGAGGTAAAGTCTCGTCTCAGAGTTCAAGAGGCATTTGTGGAATGACACCAGTGGTTGTGTTGGGGCCTCCACACATGCACAGGTTAGTTTCAGTCTCAGAACCCAGAAGGCAGATGCAGACAAACCTCTCTAAGTTCAGTTAGTGGTGTCTGTCCCACCATGCACCAAGCCCTGGGCTCAATGCGTAAGACTATATACAATTAACAAAGTGGCACATACTTGTAATCCTGGCACTCAGGTGATGAAGGTAGGAGAACCAGAAGTTCAAAGTCATTCTTATCCTCATCTAATTAGCAAGTTCAAGGCTACATTTGACTCTACCTTTAAAACAAACTGAAAGAAAGAAAGAAAGAAAGAAAGAAAGAAAGAAAGAAAGAAAGAAAGAAAGAAAGAAAGAAAGAAAGAAAGAAAGGTCTTGAGGACAGTTGATGGTGAAGGTTAGTCGGCCCCATCCTTGGATACTCCATCCTCTACCTTCTCCATACTGAGCCAGGTTCTTCTTTTGTCACTCCTCACCAACTTCGCTTTGCTTCAGCAATTTCTTGTTTGGGGGTATATTTCTTTAAGTATCTCTAACCCATCATGAACTGTGAATTCTTTGTAGGACTTCTTGAAATGGAAGCAACTTCTAGGAACAAAAGAGACTGGAACCTTAGCTTGAGGACTAAAAAGTATCAGGGAAGGGGTGTCAGTGATGCTCTGGATGAAGATTTCCTTTATGGGCATGTGAGTCTAAGGAGAGGACATGAGTAGAAAAGAGGCCCGTAGGTGAGAAGGCTCTGTTATGTAAATGTACAGAGACTGGGGATTTCATATAAATGGGTACAAGCTGATGTTTTCTTTCTAAGCATGAAAGAAAACAACCTTACCCCATCTGTTTCTCTCCACCTCTAGATTACCCTTGTTCTGGAATGCTGGGCATGGTGTCTGGACTTATTTCAGACTCTCAGATTACAGCATCCAACCAAGGAGACAGGAACTGGATGCCAGAAAACATCCGCCTGGTGACCAGTCGCACCGGGTGGGCACTGCCACCCTCACCCCACCCCTACACCAATGAATGGCTCCAAGTGGACCTGGGGGATGAGAAGATAGTAAGGGGTGTCATCATTCAGGGTGGGAAGCACCGAGAAAACAAGGTGTTCATGAGGAAGTTCAAGATCGCCTACAGCAACAACGGCTCCGACTGGAAAACCATCATGGACGACAGCAAGCGCAAGGCTAAGGTGAGGCCCTGGGATAGGGAGTAGCCACTGTCTGGGGACACTACCAGCCCACTAGCTCACCAGGAAGTCATTTCTTTAGCCCATGGTAGAAGTCAAATCCTCATGTCCTAGGATTTTTGTTGTGGTTTGGGTGTGTGTGTATGTGCATGTGTGAGAGAGAGAGAGATGTGCATAGGCATGCATGCATGTGTGAAGCACCATACACGAATTTGGGGGTTAGAGGTCAACCTTGGATATGATTTCTCCGCAGTTAGCCACCTTCTTTTCTGAGACAAATCAGTAAGTCCTAATGATCCTCCTATCTCCACCTCCGAAGCCTGTGATTACAAGTGTGACCACTAGACTCAACTTTTTACATGGGTTCAGCGGTTCAAACTCAGGTGGTTATGCTTGCATGGCAAGCCCTTTACCAACTGAAGTGTCTCTCAGGCCCCTTCTCATGTCCTAACAAGAGTCAAGGACTTCCCAGCGAAGCACAGATAGAGTTAGGTTGGCTTGTCAGTAAGCTCCTGGGGTCTACTTGTCTCTACCACTCCAGCATAGGGTTACAAATTCAAGATGCCAAATCTGGCTTTTACTTGGATGCTATAGGAGTTTGTCTCAGGTCCTCATCTTTGTAGAATAAATATTGTATCCACTGGATATTTTCCCCAAAGCGTTTGTTTGTTTGTTTGTTTGTTTGTTTTGTTTGTGGTACTGAAGAAAGTGTATGGAAAAAAATGTGCTCTTCCACTGAACTATGTATCCCTACACCGTGTAAATTTTTCATTTCATTGTTGAGATAGATGTGTCTGTAATCTCAGTACTCAAGAGGCAGAAACAGGGGGATCTCTGTGAGCTAAACAAACAAACAAAACAAGCCTGGGTACATAGTAAGTTCTCGGCCAGTGTAGGCTACAGAATAAGACTTTGTCTGAAACACCAAGAATAAGGAACCAATGCATCTTCAATTGTGAAACAATACGCATGGAATTTACTATCTGAACCTTCGTACGCAAACACTGTGACAATGACATGCAAACCTTTATCTGTGTCCCAGTCATCTCCAGAGCTTTCCTCTTGTGAGGCTGATACTCTGAGCCCATTCAGTAATCCTTCTCCGCTTCCTCTCCTTCAGTCCCTCACCTATAACCGTTCTACTTCCTGCCCTTGCAGATCTGACTAGTGAGGAGCTTCCTTTAGGCCAGTCACAGAGTATTTTTGCTTTGTGGATGGTTTATTTCACTTAATGTAATATTGAAGTAGCATGGGTCCCAATTTTCTTTCTTTTGAGAACAGAATATGTTCTGACACATGAATAATCACATTAATTTATATACTCACCACTGATGGAAACTGGGATTCTTTCCATCTTTTAGGTATTGTAAATAATGCTTAGGTATGTTCTTATGCATTTGGAACCTCTTTGTTATTTAATTTATTCATGTTATATCCAGATTGTAGCCCCCTCCCTCATCTCCTCCCTGTCCTACCTTCCCTCTTTCTCCCTATCTCCCTCCACTAGTCCACAGGAAAGGGGAACCCTCCTCCCCTACTATTTGACCCCAGCCTATCAAGTCTCATCAGGACTGCCTGCATCCTCTTCCTCTGTGGACTGGCAAGGCTGTCCCACCAGATGGAAGTGAGCAAAGAGCTGGCTACAGAGTCCATGTCAGAGATGGCCCCAGCTTCCCTTACTAGGGAACCCACATGGAGACTGAGCTGCCTATTGGCTACATCTGAGCAGGGGGTCTAGGTCCTCTCCATGCTCGGTCCTTCGTCCTTCGTGTATCAGTCTCTGCAGGACCCCCTGAGGTGAGAAAGAAATTAGGGAAACAATATCCTTCACAAGAGGCAGAAAAAACATAAAGTGTCTTGGTGTAACTCTAACCAAGCAAGTGAAAGACCTGTATGAAAAAAACTTCAAGTCTCTGAAGAAAAAAAATTGGAGAAGATATCAAAAGATGGAAAGCTCTCCCATGCTCTTGGATCAGTAGGATTAACATAATAAAAATGGCCATCTGGCCAAAAGCAATTTACAGATTCAATGCAGTTCCCATTTGTAACATCTTAAAACTCAATCACTTCTTAGTAATCTAATGAAAAAAAAAAAGAATCTCTTTCTTTCCTTCCTTCCTTCCTTCCTTCCTTCCTTCCTTCCTTCCTTCCTTTCTTTCTAGCATTTACAAAATGCACTGTAAGTTTTTAAGCCCAAAAGATAAGGCTTTTTTTTTTTTTTTACCCAGTAAAAACAGCTCAGTGTTGGCTATGTTTATTTGTACTCCCTGAGCACACCACACCAAGCTGGAAATGGTCCCAGGAATGTGCTTGGGTGGCCCCAAGTGGATTTTGGATAAAAATGAGGACCTACCCCCAGGTTTTCACATATTTCTGTGACACTTCTCACACCATCGCATTTGGCCTTTGTTCTGGGCCTTCCTAGCCCTACCCACCCAAAGCCGGTCTCTCACGGGTGAAGACTGCAGCACATTGGCTGGGCTTGCAGACAGAACCTAGTCCTGGCTAAGCTGCCGGCATCCTCCCTCCAGATATGTGGCTTTGAGGATGATAACATCCTATTTTCCAACGGCTGCAGGTCAGCGATGGAGCTACTGGCCACTGACTAAACCAGTGAGGTTTCCTTATGCTGAGGAAAGCATAAGACAGTCTCTCATCCCTCCCTGAAGTAACTTGTGGTTTCTCTAGAATTTCAGCATGAAGTGTGGCTACATTCTGTCCTTCTCATTAGGCTCCAGCTGTGGTTGGGCCCTGATTCACTGGGTAGGTGATGGTCTTGACCTTCCACTTCTGCTGGGATCACAGGCTTGCCCTGTTATGCTTGGTGTCTGTAGTATTGCAGAATGAAATCCTGGTTCCTGCGCATGTTAAGCAAAACTCAACCACTTGGTTGACCTACAGCCCCAGCTTATAAGCTTCCTTCTTTCTCGTGTCCTTTTTATTTTCCTCTTTTATTTTGTGTGTGTGAACATGTTTATAGTGTAACTGCGCGTGGTTATGCCATGCACAAGTATGTGGAAGCTGGAGGGCACTTTATTCATCATTCCTCAGACACTGTCCACCTCGTGTTTTGACACAGGGAGGGTCACTTTCAGACCTGGGACTCACTGGGCAGGCTCAGCTTGCTTTCCAGTGAGTCCAGGCACACTTACCTCTGCCTCCCCAGCACTGGGATTACAGGTGTGTGATGCTATCCCCAGTGTTTTTTACTTGGGTTCAGGGAATCAAACTCAGCTCTTACTGACTATACTATCTCTACAGTCCACTTGTCCTTTTTGTGTCCACCCTTGCTGGACTTGGTCAAACTAAAAGGGAAATACACCAGAAGCTGACTTCAAGGAGTAGAATGGCTAACACTTGATCCCTGAACGTGAGCAGTCAGCAAAGCCACTTCCCTGCCGCTGCTGATGCAGGGTATGTTGTTGCGACACGGTCTTCACACTAGGTTCTGAGAGAGTAGACAAGTCGCCATATGTGTCTGATAGAAGGCAGTGTATGCTTCCTGTCATCTAACTGCCGTGGCAATGGAGCCTAAGGCTGTCAGCCTGCTGCAGTATAGAGTTGCGCAAGGAGCTAACACATGTGTTTCAACTTTAACAGAGTCTTCTGCTGGAGACTGGTTGATACATGGGGTTTTAGTCCTGAAATATTTATCACTATCATCTTCCTATGATACCTGAAGCCATGGAGACTTTTAAATTGCTTAGACTAAGCCTAATCTATGATTCTTAGCTTGCCCTTCCACTGAAATAATATTGAAGTCGAGATGGAAGTTGGTAAAATCTTCCCTTTCAGACAGCCTACATTTTCAAGTTATATAAAGGTGTATGAAACATTTGCTACTTAGTGGTGCAAATGCCAGCTGCCTGCTGAGGATGCCAGCCATCATTCATGTAAAAGTGAGGTCAGGGTGTGTGTAGGATAAACAATGCTTCTGTGAGTCAACCTCTTCTGTGCCCTGCCCTCCCTTCCACCCGCAAACATGTAATCTTCTATCAGAGACATTATGGTCATAGCCTGGCTGGCCTTGCAGCCTAACAGGCTAGTTTTGGCCATCACAAATAACAGTGAAAAACAGACAAAGGATATTTATTCAATATGGCCTTATTGAGAAGATGAACAAAAAGATATCAGTGGCCCCCAAGGTTATAAATACAGGGCAAGAGGTATGCATAGCTAAGCTCTGCTGATCAAATGTGGTCTCCCCATCATTGACCCATCCTTGTCTCAGCTCCCATATCTGTTGCAAAATGGTCTGACAAGTTCTCAGAACTGTGTGAAATCCCTCTGGGAGACAAGCTCTCACTCTGGCTAGCACCAGCCTTTAGCCTTTTCCTTCGCCCAGAATTTACTAGGGTAATTTGAATTCTTTCCGGCCCATTGTTTTTCAATAGTCCAAAAGTCAAAGTGAGGGCATGCATGATTATTTCTCTTCTAACTTCCGTCTTGACAGAATGGTTGCATGTGGCAGGGTCTAGATTATCTAGACTTCTCAGGACTAGAAGGAGCCAAAGACCTCATATTATAAAGCATGGTGGTTTGTAGAAACCAGTGCCAATTGGCTAAGCAAGCCTCGGCTATCTGAGTTCACCCCAGTCCATGTAGCTTCGACTGCTGGTGTTTTCCCAGCTCACCACTGACAGCTTTTATAATGTATTCACATTGTGTTCATTCTTTGTCCAAGCTGAAAAGAAGAAAGGGTTCCAGGAGTCCAAAGGTACCTGTGCTTCCTCCTCTCATCTTCTCAGCCGCATCAGCATAGGCAGGACTTGTCTGTATAGTAATGGTGTTTTCATTAAAATTAGCGTCTCGCTGACAACAACTTAATTGAGTCTAACAATACTGTATGTCAGATTCTCAGTTACTCACAGTACTTGCAGATCTATCAAGAGTCAGGACCTTGAAAGCAAATATATTTCCTTAAAAAGGGAAATTAATTAATTAAGCTCTAGTGTTAGCATGTTAGATTTCTACTGTATTTCTGAGTTATAAAAGACTAATTAGTCTACTTTAAGACTTCAGAGACCTTAGTTGTCTGTCTCTTCCTACATGCTTCCTCTAGTCATGGCATGTTCTCCACAGAATATTTACATCTTCTGCTGTGGTAGGATGCTGAGCCTGTCCAATATGGCTGGCATGGCCACTCCATCTGGTTGCCAGTTTGCATCAAATTAAAGTCATTATCAGTGAACACAAATGTTATTCCTGGATACAGACATTTCCTGGAACTTGGTGTTCTTGCTGACTAGTGAAGAGGCTAGAATCTGGATGCAGCAGACATCTCAGCTGCACAGGAGCCCAAGGCAGGAGAATCATGCCAGCTCAGGGACAGTAGTCAGCCCTGGGTACCTTAGGAAGACCCTCTCTCCTCAAAAACAAAATAAATGAGGAGAAGGTGGCACTTGATTTCTGAGAGCAGGAGAGTCTTACTGTCATGGCTGAGAGTGCTAGTAAGCCAGTTTTGGTTTGGATGCTGGCTCTGCCGTGGGCAAATTCCTTAACAACTCTATGACTTGGTTTCCTCATCTATGAAGATGTGTAAGGGCGATAGAGATGGTTCAGGAGGTAAAGTGCTCACCTTAAAAGTGTGTGTGTGTGTCTGTATGTGTACGTGTCTGTCTCTCTGTGAGTTTCTTTGGGGAAGGTTCTGTGGGCATGTATATTCATTCATGTGTATGTGTATGTATGTGTTGTGGGCAGACATGCATGTCTGTATGTCTGTGTGTGTCTGTATGTGTGTGTTTGTGTATGTTTACCTGCATTTGTATATCTGTATGTGTGTCTGTCTATTTGCAGGTGTGTGTGTCCGTGTCCGTGTGTGTGTGTGTGTGTGTGTGTGTGTGTGTGTGTGTGTGTGTGT